TACCATCCTCAGGATTTGAACAATCCCTTCTCCCCACATAACCCCTGGGTTATGGAATATTTAGTTCCATTGTGTGAAATTAACTGACCATTCTCAACTAATCATCTTAATAGCATTATGAAGTCCCCAAGTTAAAATAACCCATGTAGGTATTATTAAGATGTTTAGCTCCAGCTGGTTTGGCTCAGTGGATAGAGCATTGGCCTTTGGACTGAAGGGTCCCGGGTTCGATTCCAGTCAAGGGCACACACACACACACACACACACACACACACACAAGACATTTAGGGTTGCAATAGCAGTCAAGACTCTGTCCCTGGAGTGAGTGGTAAGGAACCCTCTAAGAGAAGTGCCTGAAAGTGTCTATTTCTGCACATTAGGACTGTGAGACATATCGAGATTCAACCTCTGGCCTGCGGGGTGAGAGATAAGAGGAAGCCAAGACAAGGCTGGATGGAATAGGAATGGAATTGGTAGTAGTTACAGAGTTAACCCTCAAGACAGAAGACAAGTCTAAATTGTGAGGTTCAAGGACTTAGGCTGAATATGTGTTGAGTGTGACTTGTATTTAACATAATGGCACTGCTAGGTAAGGGTCTGACTTGGGTGACACAATGAAGATACTCATCCTAGGCAGAGGCAGCGTCTTGATTTGATGGAAATGGGGAGGATGAGGAGGGAGGAAGTGGGCAGGAAGACCTCTTTTCAGATGACCCAAGTGTCACTGGAATTCTTGCATCATTGGAGTTTTCTCAAGTATATATGTGTATATATATATGAAGCCAGCGACTGTAATGCTGTAATGACCGGAACCATAACGACCAGAATGACCAGTTGCCATGACGCCCTCTGTGGCCAGTGAACTGGCCTGATCAGGGGGTGGGGCCAGCTGGCCAACCTCCTGTGGCCCCTCCCCCTGGCAAGCCCCACCCCCAATGGGCCCCCACAATCCTCATCTGCCTGCAGCCCTTCCCCCTGGCTGGCCCCGTCCCTGATTGCCCCCCACCCCAATAGGGGGTGGGGCCAGCTGGCCAACTTCCTGAAGCCCCTCCCCTCACCTGGCCCCACCCCAGATCAGCCCCCCCACCCCAATCAGGGGCAGGGTCAGCTGGCCAACCACCCACAGCCCCTCCCCATGGCCAAGCCCACCCCCAATCGGCTCCCCAACCCCAATTGGAGGTGGGGTCCACTGGCCAATCACCCGCAATCTCCTCCTCCCGACAGGCCTAGCCTGGATCCACCCTGATTGGGGCCGGGCCGGCCAGACCCCACCCATGCACAAATTTGTGCACTGGGCCTCTAGTTGGTAATAACTGCGATGTCAAGTGATGTCATTCTGATTTAAAGTGGTAGGCTCTATAACTGTCAAGCTCTGCTGCAGACTCCATTTTCTTCTTCTGTTAAGGTAAGTCTCTTTGCTTATTTAAAGAGTAATCCTATATAATAAAGAGGGAATATACAAATTGACCATCACTCCACCACAAAGATGGCTGTGCTCACAGTGGAGGCAGTGGGGGGGGGGGGGTTCTGTAACACAAGATGGTTGCGCCCACAGCGGAGGTTGAGTTCCCGTAACGAGCCTTAATGAGCAATCAGTAGGGACCTGAGGCTGTGCCCCTCCAGCCCCCCCCTTGGGGCTCGAAGGGGGACCTCAGGACACGCCCTCCCGCCCCAGCACCAGGCCAGGGGATCTGAGGTCGCAACCCTGCCCTGGCACCGGGCCAGGAGACCTGAGGCCACACCCCCACCTGGCGGGGATTGACAGGGGACCTCAGGCAACGCCCCCAGCCTGGCGGGGATTGACATGGGACCTCAAGGTGTGCCCCCCGCCCAGTAGGGCTTGACAGGTGACCTCAGGCCATGCCCCCAGCCCGGTGGGGCTTGACAGGGGACCTCAGGCCATGCCTCCTACCCTGGTGCCAGGCCAGAGGACCTCAGGCCATGCCCACCACCCGGTGGGGCTTGATGGGGGACCTCAGGCTGCGCCCCCCACCTGGCGGGGATTGACAGGGGCCCTCAAGGTGTGTCTCCTACCCCGGTGCTGGGCCGGGGGACCTCAGGCCATGCCCCCCCACCCAGCGGGGCTTGATGAGGGACCTGAGGCTGCACCCTGCTCCCAGAAGGGATTGATGGGGGACCTGAGGCTGAGCCCCTGCTCCCAGTGCCAGGCCGGGGGACCTATGGCTGCACCCCCCGCCCAGTGGGGCTTGACAGGGGATCTCAGGCCACGTTTCCCACCCTGGTGCTGGGCTAGGGGACCTCAAGCCATGTCCCCCACCTGGTGCGGCTTCACGGGGGACCTGAGGCTGCAACCCCGCCTGGCGGGGCTTTACAAGGTCTGGATCTAGCCCAGTGGTGGTGGGGCTGGCCAGGTTTGGGTCTCTCATGATTTTGAGGTGCATGTAAGTGGGCAGGGACTTGACTCTGGGTCCCATGGTATGCCCCAGACTCTGACAGGAGGAAGATTTTCATATACATTTTCCTAATTTTCTTTCATCTCTGACTCTTCTATTATAGAGAAAAGGCAAATAGCAATATTAAAGTATTTCCTCTAATTAATCCCCTTTTAATGTGCACAAATTTCGTGCACCGGGCCACTAGTAAAAAATAATGATCCCTTACATTAATATAGCACAGTGGTCGGCAAACTCATTAGTCAACAGAGCCAAATATCAACAGTACAACGATTGAAATTTCTTTTGAGGGCCAAATTTTTTAAACTTAAACTATATAGGTAGTTTGCTTCTTCTTTGTAGCCATGTCAAACAGGGCACCTAAAAAAATGTTTCATTTTATAATAATAAAGCCACCAACACAAGATAATTACAATTCTTATATTGATGACAAAAATACCTGTAGGATTTGCAGCTGGTTGGAAAAACACAGGTAACTTTATGCTTCGAGTAGGTACTTTTGTCACCCGCCTGCCATTTGTGGACACAACTAGCACTAACCACTGCACAATGAGACTGCTGACTGACTGGCTCACTTAACTCGTGCATGAATCGCCCCCCCCCACCCGCGCTGCGTATCCTGGGGCCCATCTGCACCGCATCGCCCAACCTACCGACACTCCCCACTTCTTCTAGAGCCACTTCTTCAAAATAGACTCACCTAGGCCGAAAACCGACTTCTGTGCATGGGCCACGAAGTTTCAATCCCACTGTACATGCGCGCCCACACGTGGTATTTTGTGGAAGAGCCACACTCAAGGGGCCAAAGAGCCGCATGTGGCTCACGAGCCGCGGTTTGCCGACCACTGGTATAGCACATTCTAATTTGCAGAGTGCTTTCACATGATATCTTATTTGATCTCCCAAATTCTGTGAGGGAGGCAGAACAGGTATTTTTTATCTCATTCTTTGAACTACTGGTTCTCAAAGTATGGTCCCAGGATCTGCAGCGTTAGTATCACGTAGGAACTTGTTAGACTGTGAATCCTGGCCCCTCCCCAGAGCTACTGAATCAAGTCTTCAAGAGGGGGAATCATTTGCATTTCTAACAAGTTTCCAAGTGATGCTGATGTTGGTGCTGCTGGTCGTGGACCACACTTGGATGAAAACCACTGCTATACATTAAAATGAAAGATCTAGAAGCCCAGGGACTTACCTTAAGAGGACACCTATCTAGGTGCTCTTTCTACACCTGCTGCATCCCTGGCCCACACCCCATCCTTTCAATTCCAGCTCTATTGCTTATGAGCAGGGGTCCTCAAACTACAGCCCGCGGGCCACATGCAAATACAAATATTGTATTTGTTCCCGTTTTGTTTTTTTTACTTCAAAATAAGATATGTGCAGTGTGCATAGGAATTTGTTCATAGTTTTTTTTAAACTATAGTCCGGCCCTCCAATGGTCTGAGGAACAGTGAACTGGCCCCCTGTTTAAAAAGTTTGAGGACCCCTGCTTATGAGTTTGAGGCCCTGAGCAATTACTCTAAATTGCAATTTCTTCACCTGTAAAATGGGGATAATAGGATCAACTTCTTTGGGTTCTTATGAAGATTAAACAAGATCTAGGTAAAGTACTTAGCACTGTGCCTGTGCTTAATAAATGCTAGCAATTACCATGACTTTTATTAATATCATTAAAAGTGCAATATTTCACAAGAATGAATACCTTCATAAGTTTTTTTGAGTGTATGTCCCTCTTAAAATAGGGGGGTATTCCTGACTGATTCAGACATTGTCACTTCCTCTTTAACACCCCCTCTGGGATGTTTGTGTGATTGCATGAGCATTTGCTGAGAGCTGGGTGCTTAGGAGGTGGAGCAGAGGAAATGAGCATGTGGAACAATGTATGGAAGGGCAAACAACAGCAACTTTACTGAGGAAACAGAATAGGGGACCAGGGGGAGTATGGCTGAGGAAGGAAGCAATTGGAGAGAGCAGTCAGGGGTAAAAGGCAAGTTATTGAAAACAATTTACCTCCTTCAAAGTCTCCCCCTCACCGCCCCCCCGCGCCGCCCCCCCGCAAGGGCTAGGCTCCAGGAGGTGAAGCCAGGCCTCAGGGGATCTGTCCTGCTCTTGTTGCAGTCAAGGGGTGAACACTCAGGTGCTCACAATAAATGCCCTGAGAAGCCCTCCCGGGTTAGCGGACAATTGCGGGCACAGGGAGTTTGGGCTCAAAAGTGGCTTTGTCTTCAAAGTGACTCCTGTTGGGCAAATTTCTGACTGGACCACATCAAACGCGCCAGGGACATGGTTCTTTTTTAGCAGAGGTCTACAGTGTTCTTTCTTGGGGCATCCTGTCCCCGCCTCCGGAAGCGTTTTTTATCTTATCTGGGTAATGCAGCCCGGGTCCCTTTCCCCAGTGGACTGAGACCTTTGCAACTGAATTAAAGAAAAGAAACAAAAGCGGCAAGTTCGGCCCCGTGGGCACGGCAGGCCGCCAATGGGCGCGGCCGCTCCCTAGCGGAGTGGTACTATGATGACAGTAGCCAATCAGCGCGCTCCATGCAAATGGAGTACTGTATCCCGCACCGCAGCTCCAGTGCCATCTGCTTGTTCTAGTGATAAACTGAGGCCTTGCCTCTCGGCTTCTCCCAGAACGAAAGGGGCGGGGGTGGGGGGGTAACCTCTTTACTCCCCCCAGGATAGACAGAAAGAAGTGATGAAGAAGGGGGATGGGTAAGGAAGAGAAAAATACCTGAGAAAGAAAACATCCTCTGCCTGGGAGGAGACTGACGGGGTGTAGAGCTTGGAGGGAGCATTCACTGGCCATGCCAGTACTTACCACTGATGCTGAGTCAGAAACAGGTATCCCAAAATCCCTTTCCAATGAGCCTCCCTCAGAAACCATGGAGGAAATAGAGCACACATGCCCACAGCCTCGACTGGTAAGTAAAGACAAAGGATGCAAATGTATGCGTGGCTATGGCACAAAAGAATTCCTTATGCGCCTGCAGCCAGCGAGGAAAAAGATGCTGAGGATTTTCATGTAAATGAGAATGGAGCTACCGCCTAATCCTTCTCAGCTGTTTATATTTAGCTTCTCTACCCGGCGCTGCTCTCCGCTTACAAAGCATTATTGTACCGGCTGGGTAGGAAACGGGCTGCTTGGGCTCTGCTGTGTTTTTGTGCTTGGGAGGAGGGAATGGCCTTTTTCCTTTTAAGTGTGTTCTCGTCTGAAGATAAAAAAAAAAAAGCCACAGTGCAATTTACAAAATGGTATTCTTTTCGCAAAGCTTGGGACGAGTCCGTTAAGTTCTCAGTCCTAGGTAAGGAATGATTCGGTCTTCAACTAATGTTGGTGCCTAATGCCTGTTTGGTAAACATGAAAAACGACATGGAAGCAAACTTCCCCATTTGCTTGAAAATGTCAAAATAACTAAGCAAAAGAGTCCCTCGATGATGTATTTAGAAATAACGTGTATCTTAAATGAATTGCAAGCATTTCCGGGTCTGCTGTCAGGGTTTCTCTTCAGGTATGGGAACCTGGGGGAGCTGCATTTACTTAGCAAGGGGCTGCATGCCTTTAATAAGTGTAAATGGGGCACTTAGCGCTTCCTTCCTTCTCATTAACTGAATCAAAAACAACAAATGGGTAGCGGGTTTTCGGTGGCCTGGAGTCTTGTGGAACTTGGGGAGACCTCTCTTTGAACCCTCAGATCCAAGCCATACACTGTTTAGAGCTATATTTTCTCTCTAGCATTTCCCTCAAGTTAAAGGGTGCAATATTTTGATTGGCTGTGGAGTTTGACCCTGGGAAGAGGGTTTTTTTTATTGTTTTTTAAGGATTTTGTAATGTAGTATTTTCCGTGAACTACCCCAATGAGGGCTCACAGATTCCAAAGCCAGCCCATCATGAAACTGTTATTTCTTCATAAGGGTTCATAAGGATTCAAAGGCAGGCTTAGGACAACTTCCTAATACATGAAAACAAAGGAAGTTATATTAGAGTCCCGGGGCCTTTTGTTCACTGTGCTTCTGTTTTTTCAAAAATATATTTTGTTAAGGCAATTTGATATTAACTGCTCCCCAGCACTTTAAGCCACTTATTGAATGTCATACATAAACGTTTTACCTATGTCCTCAAAAGATACAAACCATCCCAATAAGGAATTCCTTTGAGCTACTAGATATCTCATGTTTTAGCATAGAAAAAACTGACCACTAAAAACGTGTCACCCAAAATGTTTTTAAAAGTTAAACCCAATGTTCCAATTTGCATCAGACTTGCTGACAGGTAGGTAAAGGGTAGGGGAGAGAAAGGCAGCATCCAGTTCCAGTTTGTGTATCGGTTGAGTCTCTTGTGCCAACTTCTTTTCCTTCCCTTTTTGCCTTTTAGCAATTCTTTCCCTTGCTTGCTTCTGCCTGAGAGGGTGGGCAGAGGAAATCAAGGGAAGGAAGCAAGTTCAAGTACTTTTCACTTTCACTTGTAACAGCTCAGCCTGGAGTTAACTCCCAAGAACCATGCAAAGCTGGCAATGTTATACTTCCATCTCCCTGCTGCTTTAGAAATGAGGAAACAGGTTCAGAGAGGGTAAGTGACTTCCCCAAAGTCACATTGCTTCAAAGGGGTAGATCTGGGATTTGAACCCAGAGCTCTACCCCTGCAAAGTGGAAGATTTCCCCCCTACAACACACTCTTAGGTGAGAAACATCCACTCCCCATCTTTTTGGCAGTTCTGGCTTAAAGTGTGTGTGTATGTGTGTGTGTGTGTGTGTGTGTGTGTGTGTGTGTGTGAAGAATATACAACAGTTCCACTGTTTTGTTCTGTTTTTTTTTTTTTAATCCTCACCCGAGTATATTTTTCCATTGATTTTTAGAGAGAATGGAAGAGAGAGAGAGGGAAAGACAAAGAGAAATCTTGATGTGAGAGAAACACATCAATTGGTTGCCTCTTGCACAAGCCCCTACTAGGGCCCTGGCGGGGGAGGAGCCTGCAACCGAGGTACGGGCCCTTGACCGGGTTCAAACCAGGGACCCTTTGGTCTGCAGGCCGATGCTCTATCCACTGACCCAAACCAGCTAGGGCTGCTTTGTTCTACTTTTGATAAAAATGTTATATGTTGTCCATCATAATCATGATCTGCTGAAAACGGGCTCTGTTTAAATAGGGACTGCAACCAACTTGTAAGCCACTGCACTCAGTTCTTCGAAGCGCCTTTTCTCTGATCAGCAAACTTTGATCACTGTAGGGGTATATCTAAATTTTGATTTACACTTCAGAGCCCAACTTTTCTTTGCTAAGGATTTTACTTTAAGGATGCAGGCACGTGTGAACTACTTAATAACAAAGTTTGCTCCTGAAGAGAATGAATGGCAAGTGAAAATGCTAAACTTGCATTTCTTTGGAAGGTTTCAGTAGTTTCTGTTGATCTTTAGCTTTGCTGATATCTTCACATTTCAAATTATATAAATTCTGGGTTTTTCCCAGCACCCAAGCACATTTGTCCAAAATTACACATGGGCCCCTGCCGCCACAGTGGCAGCAAGGTGTGGCTGCTGCGTAACTTTGGAAAGTGCATGAAAGACTTGAGAGATTCACCTGCAGAAGACAGGCTCCTTCTCCCACTTGCCACCAAACTTGAATTCATAACCGTTTAGAGAAAACAGGACTCAATAATAAAACATTCTTTTTTATTTTATTTATTTATTTTTTTAAAATATATTTTATTGATTTTTTACAGAGAGGAAGGGAGAGAGATAGAGAGTTAGAAACATTGATGAGAGAGAAACATCGATCAGCTGCCTCCTGCACATCTCCTACTGGGGATGTGCCCACAACCCAGGTACATACCCTTGACCGGAATCGAACCTGGGACCCCTCAGTCCGCAGGCCGACGCTCTATCCACTGAGCCAAACCGGTTTCGGCAAAACATTCTTTTTTAAAGTAGCAATTACGAAAGTGGTTGTCATGTGCTTTTTTTTTTAAACTTTTTTTTTTATTAATCTTCACCCAAAGACATTTTTTCCCATTGATTTTTAGAGAGTGGAAGGGAAGGGGAGACACACACAGAGAGAAACATCGATGTGAGAGAGGCACATCGATTGGTTGCCTCCTGCACGGGCCCCGACCAGGGCCAGGGATCGAGCCTGCAACCAAGGCATGTGTCTTTGACCAGAATGAAACCCGGGGCCTTTCAGTTCTCCGGCCGATGCTCTATCCACTGAGCCAAACTGGCTAGGGCAGAGTGGTTGTCATTGTATTAGCTGATGCACACACTGGCTCCCCAAACTCTTAATTTTACCTGGGAATAATGGAAAAGGAAATTTCTGAGTATATAAGGGCTATAAAGCTTTACTACAAGTTCCAGAATGTGAACTTATGTCACCAAACGTTATTGTCTGTAAATACAGATTTTATTTAAATCTCAAGAATTTGCCCCTAATCGGTTTGGCTCAGTGGATAGAGCGTCGGCCTGCGGACTGAAAGGTCCCAGGTTCGATTCCGGCCAGGGGCATGTACCTTGGTTGCGGGCACATCCCCAGTGGGGAGTGTACAGGAGGCAGCTGATCGATGTTTCTCTCTCATCGATGTTTCTAACTCTCTATCCGTCTCCCTTCCTCTCTGTAAAAAAATCAATAAAATATATATTTAAAAAAATAAAATAAATCTCAGCAATTGTGTAAAATGCCTTTTTTGGGTCATGAATTGGACTCTCTATTTAGCATGGCACTAGAGAAGGTGTGTACAGTGTTCGTGTCTATGTGTGTTTGCCTCTATATTATTTACAGTGAAGGTTGTCTTTTGTGATCCAGTTGAACTCAGCCCTCATTGATTGAGTCCCCACTACGTGCTAAGCTCTGAGTCCTCAAGTACTTTGTGATCTAGAGATTCGAGAAGAGACTGAAACATAAACAGATAGTTTCCATACAGGTTGATAAGGGCACAGCGTGCTAAGAGTTGTGTTACCGGGTGCAGTGGGGACAGAAAGGAGAGTAGTGAACTCCTTGAGAGCGAGTCAAAGTTTGCCACAGGGATGTTGACTAGAAACCTGTCTTGTCATCACTGTATCGCTGGT